GGGCATGTCAACAGTGTGGCAAGCCAACCTTGTCCTGCCACCGTGGCGGCCCCCTGCAGCTTCTGCCACGATGGCGACACAAACCGCCGAGCACCACAAGGGCGTCTGCCGATCATCGCACGGGAGAGATGACGAGTCCGCTCACGTGCGAGGTGGCGTCACGTTGATCTGCAACCGACCCGGGGCGACCCACCACGACCCGGGGCCAACCCACCGGCGACCCGGGCGACCCGCGGCGACGCCACCGCGACCAGGCGCGACCCGCCATGACCCGCGGGCGACCCAGCCGCGACCGGCTCGGCCGACCACCGCGAGCGAACAAACCAGCCTCGGTCGCCGGCGGTTGCCGTGATGCGGGGTAGGGTGGGTGTGGGAGACTGTCTTGGGTGACCTCTAGCGCTCCTCAAGTGTCAACATTTCCTGCGGGTACAGCTTGAGTTCCTGCAGAGACTGCTGCGCGTTGAGCTCCGTAACCTGTGGTGACAAAATTTATATACAAAGTAATAAATATAACGATTTATTAATTAAATTATTCTTAATTAAATCATTATAATTATTTAAAAATAATTTAACCTATAATTAAACTTGCATAAGAAAAATCAACTATTAATTTCCAGAGCCTTTTGATCGCATTCTGAAACTATACAGTGCAAATGCGCGCACACACTACGCAGAGTCACAGTGCTCCGCTAAGGGACGATAATGACACGATTAACGAACTTACGTCTCGTCTTGGCCAGCTTTGTAGAACCTTGTACGTCTCTAGTGGATAGCCTTTCGATGCCACCCAATTTAAAATAACCTGCAATGGGAAGTGTAAGGGGTAAAGATGTAAGTGTAAGTGGTAGATGTAAGTGGTGGGTGAAATCTATTAGGGGGCAAACAGTTAAGATATTTCACTCCTACTACTCATACACAGTTGAAAATATCATCATAAAAATACGCGGATAGTAGACACTGTTCCACCATTGACACACGACAGGTGTAACATTGGACACACGGACAGGTGTAAGCATTGCACACACGCACAGGTTGTAACATGCACACACGCACAGTGATGTAACATTGACACACGCACAGGCTTGTTAACATTGACACAGACAGGTGTAACATTGACACACGACAGGTGTAACATTGACACACGACAGGTGTAACATTGACACACGACAGGTGTAACATTGACACACGACAGGTGTAACATGATGGCGACACAATAACAAGCATGACATGAACTATTATGACATGACACAGGCCTTCCTTCACACACGCACAGTAATAGGTTGATAACATAAGCAGCAATGCCCATGCCAGTGATTGTTAATCGTTAACATGCAATGAACTCCGGTCATGGAACCAGCTCAGCACCAGTACGGCACAGCTACCGGCGCATCATGAATAACAAAAGACCGCACAACCTTTCCAAGACCAACGCTTACGAACCACAAAGACTACGCAACAAAGGCCCGCAGCGCGTGTTTCGACAAACGAGCGTGCATGTAGGGCGCTAATCGGCGAACACAACGCCGCCGACGTACGGGCGGCGCTGTTGGACAGATGGCCGTGACGTAGGAGGCGCTGCCGGACACATGCAGTGACGTAGGGGGCGCTGCTGGACACACACCGTTTGACAATGGGGCGCTGTCACACACGCCGCGACGTAGGGGGCGCTGTCGGACACACGCCGTGGCATCGGGGACGCTGTCGGACACACGCCGCGCGTAGGGGGTGCCTAATTGGCACACGCCGCGGCGTAGGGACCCTTCGGAACAGATGTTTTTTTTTTTTTTTTTTTCTGTTATTTCTTTTTTTCTTTTTTTTACCCGCGCACGTAGGCATAGCGCGGCTCAGGACAACACCGTGAATGTAGCGGGGCGACTGACCGAACACACGCCGTGAATGCCAGGGGGCCGCTGTCGGACGCCACGCCCGCCCGACGTAGGGGTGCTATGGACACACGCCGCGCGTAGGGGACGCTGTCGGACAGATGCCGCGACGTAGGGAGCGCTGTCAGACACACCGTGATGTAGGGGGCACTGCCGAACACACGCCGCGACGTAAGGGGCGCTGTCGGACAGACGCCGCAACGTAGGGGGCGCTGTTGGACAGACGCCGTGACGCAGGGGGGCGCTGTCGTACCTGCAGCGGATTGTTGGCTAGGAAGCGTCGCTCGATGGTGGACATCGCCGTCGCGTAGCGTAAACGCGAGATGATGCTGGTCGGCTCCGTGCAGTCTGTGTCCGGCTCCTCCGGAAAGCTTGCTTGCTCCAACGACAGCCGCTATCGCCCTGCAAACACACGCAGCGATAGATAGATAGATGCATGGATGGATTCTATCTTCCTTAATTTTTAATATACATGTGTGTGTGTGAGATTTGCATACCTGCTGCCACCCATGACAGCTGTATTGCCACAATGCGCACTATGAAATAAAAAGGGGGCAAACACAGGCGGATAGCATAGATAGATAAGATAGCATAGTCTAGACAGAAAACACACATAGAAATTACTCCAGTAACATAATCGAGTTACTTATTTTAAAAGGTGTCTGATGATTGATTAATAAAAAACGTGTATACTTTATAATTATTATAATATTCAACGATAACTCTTGTATGGATTTCTTAATTAAGCGTCAATATCCACGGACAGCCTTACCTCTTAATCGCCTTCCTTCTTGTCGTTTCTCGGTCTCTTTCTTGCTTTCTTCTGAGAACTCGCTTGCTCTTCCATGAACGCTGCTCCTGCTGCTCCTGGCTCTTAACCATCATTCCGTAAACCACAAACATAAACAAAACAATATGATACGCGTATATTACCCCACCTTACTAACATAACCATACCTAAAACCACAAACATTAATCGAACTATAGTCGTTATTCCCCATTTACTAACATAACAACCTAAACCACAAAACATTAATCAATATACCGCGTTATTCCCCATTTTACTAACATAACCAGTACATAAACCACAAACATTTAAACAATATACCGCGTATTATTCCCCATGTTACTAACATAACCAGCTACGGCATAAACCACAAACATTAATCAATATACCGCGTTATTCCCCAATGTTACTACATAAACCAGTACGCTAACCCACAAATCATTAATCAATATACCGCGCTTATTCCCGCATTACTAACATAACCATACCTATAACCACAAACATTAAAACAATATACCGCCGTTATCCCCATGCTTAACTAAACATCACCACTACCTACTACTACTACTATTACTACCATCACCACTACCACTACTACTACTATTACTACCATCACCACTACCACTACTACTACTATTACCACCACCACCACCACCACCACTAGTACTATTACTATCACCACCGCTACCACCACTACTATTGCAGTAATTAGCTCGTACTTTGTGCGGTTGGATTCACACGAGATATCCCAGGCCCACGTCGTAAAGTGAGCGCTGAGGTAGTGCACGACGGCCTCAGCACACAGCCGCTCCGCGCAGAACACGTTCGACAACACACTCGCGTCGTGGTGGATGTACACGGCCAGCGGCTTCCTCTGTGCCAAGCAAGACACGAGATGATATAGAAATAACATTTGTATCTATCTATCTAGCCATCCATCCCTCCATCTATATCTATCTGTCTCTCTCTCTCTCTCTCTCTCTCTGATGCAGTGCAACAGTTTAAATATATTAAATAAATTTTAGCATAAATGTTGGCAGCGCCATCTATTGAGCTATTTTAACAAAAATTATTGAAAATACACTGCCCTCCGTGCGTGCTTACATCTTTAGCTGGTACTTGGCAAGCTTCCCTGATCGCATCGTCAAGGGAACCTATGAAGAAAACTGGATGGTATTCGCCGTATCTGAAAAGAAATCGTCGACATTAGTCGTGAGGCTAGGTATGGTGGCGACTACACAGTGACCTCAATGCCTCACATACAGAGACAGTCGGACACATACTCTTTGGTCATGAACAAGTTTACAACAATTGTAAAGGGCATGAGCATGGACTTAACGTTTGAAGCATATTTTATAACACCAAATAACTAATAAAACTAACTGACTGACTGACTGACTGACTGACTGAGTGACAGACCGACAGACAGACATAGCAAAAACGTGACGTGAATAAAATCAACACACCTTGCTTCGAACTCGCGGCAGAAACTTTGTAGAGCCTCTGTATCATCATCTACTTCTTCTGGAACTAAATAAAACAACATAATCCAGTACAATAAACAGATCTATGATACCAAATAACATATTGAAAAGCACTCTCTCAAACTATGGTATGAGCATGTGTGCACGATACATCCACGCATATATATATAATAACTGGTGATATCATCACGTGTGTGTGCGTGCGTGTGTATGTTTGTGCGTGCATGGATGTGTGCATGCGTGCACGCGCATGCGTGTGTCTGTGTGTGCAGCCGTGTGCGCGCGCGTGTGTCTCTGTGTGTGTGTGTGTGTCTGTGCATGCGTGTGTATGTGTGTGTGTGTGCGTGCGTGAGTGTGCATGCGTGTGCGTGCGTGCGCATGCGTATCTGCGTGCGTGCGTGTGTGTGTGCGTGCGTGCCTGCATACATGTGTGCATGCGTGCATGGATGTATGTGTGTGTGTGCGTGCGTGGAAACAGTAGTAGCTTACTCAGAGGCTGCACGCGCCGGGAACACACGGGTTCCGCTATGAACATGTCGTCTTCCAGCGGAAACGAATCCGTCGCATCCTGAAAGTCTTCCGTCTCGCTGTCGTCGCTCATCGTCAAGTCCACCTCCACCTACGCACGCAAAACACGAACACTGACTGAACACCTACTGCCTACAACTCATCCATGGTTCATCCAGGGCTGAAAATTTTTCAAGGACTTTTCAAGGACATTTTATCGAAAATTCAAGGACATTTTACCAGACATTTTATCGGAATTCATACACAGAACAAAACATACCTGGATTAATTTAATAATAACCCCATTCTTAATCACTGTCACCTCTAAAACTTACCTGGATCGCATTAATAAACCCTTCTAAACACTGTCACTTCTACAACATACCTTGATTTACTGACTGATTTTACTGACTTACTGTAATTTGTGATTATCATTTAAGCCTGGCGCACACGTGAGTTATTTTACTCAAGTAAAATGACGCACGAGTCAAATTACTCAACGAAAATCCGCCGCACACGTGAGTAAAATGATGCATGCGTCAAATTACTCAACGAAAATCCGCCGCACACGTGAGTAAAATGATGCATGCGTCAAATTACTCAGCGAAAATCCGCCGCACACGTCAATAAAATGACTCATGCGTCATTTTACTTGAGTAAAATAACTCACGTGTGCGCCGGGCATTAACTGTCTATCGTGTCTATAGCTTTTTAAGCTCATTTAACGCAATTTTTATTGAGGTTTGCACATTATTGATGGTACAAACTTTCTTTTTATTATAGGCAAGGATTCTTTCTAAAAATTCAAGGACATTTTCATGAAATCCAAGGACTTTTCAAGCGCAAAACCAACATTTACTAAATTCAAGTACTTTTCAAGAATTCCCCTCAAATTCAAGGACTTTTCAAGGACTGTGCGAACCATGTCATCGCAGCATGGCCGGACATGTCACACAACACTTGTTACTATTCGTCGCATCGACTGGTCATCGGAATTTAGCAATGGGTAATATTACAAATGAGGAATAACTTTACTGGCGCGAATCCCCGATTGAAAATCGTGTCTGGCTTTTTCGTATGCCCCCAATGACAACTTTCTGCTCAGACGGCATACAACATGCATACATCGACGGCAAGTGATTGATCGTACATCAAGGAGCTATCAAATATTCGCACAAGATATTTCATGCGATATGAAATTTGCCTATCAAATTTTGCAATATAAATTGCAAAGCGAGATAAGGCAGCATTTAAAGTGATGTTTCGATGGAATAACTACAGCAAAAGGAAAGCGCGTCCTATTAAATTTTACATGCAGACAAAATAAAATTACTGCACGATTAGTTATTCATGCACATATTTATTGCACAATTTACATGTCAAATTGCATTGTTGTTGTTATTGTTTACACACAATGCAACTGATTTTTTTCTATAAAAACTACAATGCCAGTTGCCACATATAAAGCACACAACGAATAATAATTACATTATATATAAATAGGTACACATTAGATAACAGTAATACTAACTATAAGTCATCAATAATATTACCTACACTCGTTAGCTTTAGGTTATTAGTAACCGATGCTATACCTGTTTACGTGCCTGCGCTTTCTCTGCTGCTGCCTTGCTTCTTGTCACGGTAAAGTTGTGACAAGGAAAGCTAATGCCGCTGCCAGCTAACGTCATCTGTAAGTACAGTAAAACCCCCGTGTTAGCTGTCACCTCTATATAACAGCCACCTGTCTATAAAGGACACCTGTCTATAATGGCCACCTGTCTATAAAGGACACTTGTCTATAACAGCCACATGTCTATAAAGGACACTGCTGGAATTTCTCTCGAGCGGCAGTTGCACAGTAAAACCATTACGGTAGTTGTACTTACATTGTTATCCGATTCGTCGGGCCAACCTTGCCATACTTGTTTGCTTACGGTCAAATTGGTCAGTGTATAGTATCCCGTTTTCACCTGTAATCCCATCAAAGGTTACCGTATCATATATTCTACAAACATGAACGAATCGTGAAATCGAAGGTGAAACGCAGAAAGTCAGCGATGAAAATGTGTGGCGCAATCAACATGTGAATGCGGTTAACTTCAACTGCAAAAATCGAATTAAAGTTTAATTTAATTAATTAAATTTAATTAAAATTATAGTATTTACATTTCACCGTGCGATTTCTGTAATCCTAAATTTTAAGCTTGAGCTTCATGAAAGAAAATAAGTAATGAAAGAACCTATATCAATAAAGCCGTCTTTCATAAAATATTACCTCTAAGATGGTTTTGCTTCCAGGATACGTGAGGTGGTACTGTTTATTTGTATCTCCATCGTTTATGTTCAATCGGAAGTCCCGTGATAGTCGCTCCAATATTTCTGGGCTGAATAACAAGATTACAATACAAATACACGTACCTTCGTCAAATGAACGAGAATATGGATTTTGTTATGGATGGCTATAATAAAATGTACACTTTGGAAGGAAAATAATGCATGGTAATAAAAAGTTAAACATGTTAGATGTAAAGTTAAACTCCAGATCAGAATCACAAGCAAAACGATAGCTTGTAAATATAATTTCCTTAACAACTGACTGAAAACTTATCTAGGTCATCAGGGATGACACAAATCATTGCATTATTCTTTCAACAGTGTTAACCTCAAGGTGTTCGAACGACATCAAGTTGTATTAATGTTCTGTGTTTCTACATGCCAAACAAAGTTTGTATAACAATTATAAATATTATGCAGATATGCTCGATCTATGCTACAGCCATTTTAACTCTCAATTAACACTCACTCTTCGCCATTCAAATTGACTGTCTTCTCTGGGATATCATAATCACATGGCACCAAGCAATATAATTGGGTTTCTTTCGGAAGGTTGAGCGTTGCTAACACCGTATTATCTGCTACCTTCCTCTTCCATCCCTGAAGATTCATCTTGTCTACAGGAACACCCAATTGTTCCGACAAGATTTTCTTTATTGTACCTGAAGAGGTAAAAGAAGAAATCACGACACGAAACGGCTATGGACATACGAGAAAGGAATATTTACTACAAATTTATCTGTCCTGAAAATGACTCAATACATCGCGTACATTTTTCTACAATTTTTACAGTTAACACAAGGTTTTTTTCATTGCCAGTGCACTGTTAAATTGTACCACGTTCTGCATGTGTCCGTACAAGATTTCCCACATCCATGAAAATTTCCCCCGATTTCCCTCTCGACCCATTATCTTTATCTTTACCAGATTTCTCCAAAATACAGATACCGGTGTGCCCAACTACTTTACACCACCCTGACACAACAACACGGCAGCCAGCGATGACTTGTCAGAAAAAAATTAGTCTCAACATTATCCTTTTCTCATAGACCATTGTGAGAGAATTTTGTTTCGTGACAACTATGTCTGAGGAGGAGGAGAGAGAACAAGTTGCCGGAATTTTTTTAATCGTCTTCTACTTCACGACGTTTCTGTCGACAGTCTAAGAGAAAAATTTAAGATCACTAGATCACCAGACATACTCACCGACCGTCTCGGTATCCAAGAGTACGATGGGAACCCTTCGCTCTCTCAGCTCCACCGTAAACTCCAGCATGCGTTGCTCGGGGGTCCATGACGGTCCGGCCGTCGGCATGAAGTTAACGGGTCCATGTAACGTTTCTAGGAGAGGTGGCGCCAGCGGTGCCGGCACAATGTGCTCTACCTGGGAACGCAGACGACGTGTGAGATTCTACGCAAGATGACGACGTGTTTGACGTTTGATTATAACTATAATATATGTTATGTTCTTATGTTCTCGTACTTGTCGGTGTCCACTGCACTGGATATAGTGACAAAGCTATCTAACAACCTGTTCTAGCAACTCCATAGAAGCATTACAATTTATAGCAGCAACATTAGAAGTGTGCAAAAATCTAAATCAAATTGTTTTTATTAACTCCTGCTACCCTAAGCATTTCTTCGTTCTAACTGCATTGTAAGCCAACATTGCAACACACAGAACAACAACGTCAAAGATGTGGACACCCTATAATTACCTCTATGTCCGGCTGTACTGCTTCCACCATTACCTGTACATCCGGCTGCATTGCTTCTACCATTACCTGTACATCCGGCTGCATTGCTTCTAGTTGAGGTGCTACTTGAACGTGCTCAGAGGGAAACGTCTGTGAACCCTCCGGCATCACGTGCCCTATAGCCGACTGAATGTGATCACATATACACACAGTTAGAGATCGCTCGTTCTGTATTCTTTAAATTAGTTCTCTGTTAACTGTAGATATAATATGCGCGGAGAGCCAGATTTATTGGCTTGTATCATCGACTGCGGTACAAAACTACCGACAAATGACAGAATATGTTTAAATATATCATATGACCAGTAATGTACGTAATGTACATAAATAAAAGGAAATGGGTCACTCAAGTTGTACAATAAAGCTAATATCAACCACACGTTGAATCTTACCATTAAATTCCAGTTTGCCTCATCTAGGTGGTATATGGCAAGACCGATATCTTCGATACCTGTACAGGCCTGAAAAATTACAAAGTAAACATGCCTTGTGTTCAGTGAAAACCTGAGCATGTATTTCAGACAAATATTTATTGTATAGTATATTGCACTAAATGACTTTAGCAGTGTCTTAATTTAATGATGTGCTTGTAAAGTTAGTAACTGCATCATGACATGACATGACATGACATGCCATGACTGCCATGACATGACTTGACTGACATGACTGCCATGACATGACAATTGTCACACAATTTCATATGCCACTCAACAACAATCAATATTCATCTCAATCTATACGATTTCTAAGTAGTACAAGTGGCAACAACAGTACTTTGTACTCATAAATGATGGCGTTTGTACATGCATTACTACACAAAGGGTTTGTTGTATTATTCTACGAGAAGTTACGGTCTAACTCCATGTAAAAGTGAGACAGGCAATGAATTAATTACTGAATCACTGACAAAATAATAATATCACCACTACCCCAATCCACTAATCCGTAATCGTGTGCATGTTCCAAACTGATCTTTGATGCTAGCTGGAAGCTGGAACTTACATACTATTATTACCTGTTCATTGTCATCTATAAGGAAACATGCTGTTAATTACGATTTACCTGAAAATTCGCCAATATCTCCTCTCTATTCTCTGCCATTGTTACTAGTAGTAGTAAATGCTAAATCATCCACATACATACATGCAGCTGCGCAACGAGTAACAAGTGAGCATCTGTTAACACCAATGACCTCTGTGTCATGTGACAACAAACTGTAATGCATAAAATAATAATGAAAATGCACGTAAAAAATATCTCGTCTTATAGTTATAAAGCTCACTGAACAGCAATTAAAGACGTAGAAATTATCTGGACATTATACAGTTTTATTTACATTTTATATACAGGTGGCGCCCCGCCTTCGTCATGGCGGCTTCTATCCGAAAATGTTTTGCATTTCTGAAACCAAGGTACTTGTCTGTACCATCAAAAGTTGCGTCATATGACAGCCAGGTACTACTATGTCACATAATCTATTTGTGTTTTTATGACATTTTACTAAGGTAAATTATTTAGCTGCAGTATTTGTTACTGGTTGGTTTTACGTTACAAAAGTTTGTGGTGTGCCGGTGTCACGGTCTGAGATTACCCCAGTCTGAAATTACCTCTAGCACCTCGTGCGCATGCGTGACGCATGCGCAGTAGCGCTGGATAATGAGACTGCCGCGGCCACAGTCTGAGATTAGTCTGGCAGTAGGTGGGTAAATTCAGACTGGGGTAATCTCAGACCGGTGTCACGGTCTGAGATTACCCCCAGTCTGAAATTACCCCTGCAAATTATATCCTGTGTTATGGTAGACATCGCAGGCGTGCGTACGCGGATGATGCTGGTCGGCTCCGTGCAGTCTGTGTCCGGCTCCTCCGGAAGCTGCTGCTCCAACGACAGCCGTATCGCCTGCAACACACGCAGCGATAGACAGATAGATGCATGGATGGATTTATTTCCTTAATTTTAATATACATGTGTGTGTGTGAGATTTGATACCTGCTGCACCCATGACAGCTGTATTGCCTACAATGCACATGAACATAAATGGGCAAACACAGGGATAGATAGATAGATAGATAGATAGCTAGACAGAAACACACATAGATAATTACTCCAGTAACTAATCTAGTTTTACGTATTTAAGGGTTTCTGCATGATTATTATAAAAACGTGTATACTTTATAATTATAATTATTCAACGATAACCTTGGTATGGATTTCTTAATTAAATCGTTATCACGATCAGCTTACCTCTTTAATCGCTTCCTCTTGTCGTTTCTCGTCTTCTTTCTTGCTTTCTTCTAGAACTCGCTGCTCTTCCATGAACCGCTGCTCCTGCTGCTCCTGTCGCTTTACGTCATCCTAAACCACAAACATTAATCAATATACCGCGTTATTCCCCATGTTACTAACATAACCAGTACCTAAACCACAAACATTAATCAATATACCGCGTTATTCCCCATGTTACTAACATAACCAGTACCTAAACCACAAACATTAATTAATATACCGCGTTATTCCCCATGTTACTAA